AGGAGAAGGCCACAGAGTCAACCCAATCAGAGTGGCCCGTGAGGGTCTGCAGATAAGGACTCCACGCTGCTTCCACTTGTGGCAGTGGGCATATCCATTCTGGAATATTCCTACTATATGTCTTTCTTACAACACTTTGTTCAGGTGAAAACATCAGCCCAGAATAATAAAGTTGCAGCGGAGCATTGGTAGTCATAGACATGTTCCTAAGGATGAATCTCCTTGCATCATGGAGAAATTGCGATATTTCAGTATTTGCGTCCTTCTGATATTGTTATTAGCAGTTATTATCCGAAGGGTAGGCAGACTCACCGCGACCGCTGCCTGGAGCATATCTATCATTCCCACCACTTCAGATAGGACACCCATCAAACTCAATGCCTCCAACCAATGAAGAAAATTTCCTCTCAAAAAGGGCAAAAGCATTGGAAACTCAGAGACGTGATATCCGCTCTGCTGGAGATGATGTACCCAGTACCGACAGGAGTATTGCAAACTTGCTGGGATATGCTGGCCAACAGTCTGGCTGTCAATATCGACTTTTTGTACCCCATAGCCTGACAAACCACAGATGTTGCGTTTGAGGCGTTCGACCATGACGCGAAAACAATGCAGCGCTATTTTCTGGTGTGTCTTTTCCTTATCGACATGAAAAGAGCTTTGCTCCGTTGTTAGAAGATAATCTTGAAACGATAAATGCAGCAACTGAACTGGCGAGTCAAGGGTTTCAGGCACGCTAAGAACCGAATAGAATCCATTCAGACGGTTAGAAATATTTCTTGGTGACTTGTTTGTCAGCTGCGCCAGAGCATTGATTGAAAGTGGAGTAGCAAGAAGGATGATAACCCCAACTGTATCCTGAAATTCTTGTTCCAGATGCTTTTTCTCGCGGTGACCTGCATCAAGAAATAGTTGCTTCAAGACTGGCAAGTATGTTTTGTCCATCTGAGAACCTGAAGTTGCTGCTGGATCTTCAAGAAGGGTCAAAAGACGATCTTCTGGAAGCCATGTTGGGTCATCCACAAATCGACAAATGGTGAACGCGGAAATAAACAATGGAACTGCTCTCTTAACTAGAGTTTCAAGAACATCATCTTTTGGCCATTCACCGGAGACTTGTCGGCTTGCTTTTATCTGCGAGAATTCGTCCCTTAGGAACACACGAATGTCCTCTTCAACCACTATGTTTGACAGCTCGTGGAGGACTAGGCGTCGATGATTGTTACTTTGTTCGAAGACAGCACGAATTGGCAGTTCCGGACGGCTTGTGATAAATACTCGGAAATTCCTAGACCCACATACCTGCAAATCTGGCAAAAGCTGAAGTAGAATTTGTATGTCATCTTTGTTACCACATTCATCTAACGCATCGATCACAATCACAATGGTTGCGGGCTCCTTTTGATCCAGGCTGAGAAGTGGCTCAAGGAGCAGCTTAGTGAATTGCTCTTTCATCGCTTTGTCTGAGATCAAAGGGTTTGCGTTAATCGCAAGTTCCACAGGGCGAAAAAGTGCAGGAATATGGACCAGAAGCTGTTTGCAAATTGTGGTAAAAAACTTCTTGGCAGTATCGCGGCCACCCTCTCCGCGTTTGAAGAAGAAGCTGGCGCCAAGTTGGTTCTTCTCCTTAAAGCAATGGGCTATTGTTCGAGAAATCGTGGACTTCCCTGTTCCTGCCATTCCATTCAACCAGAATATACATTCCGAACTTGGATCTTCGGCCCAGTCCATGATCTGATGAAGGAGTTTGATTCTTGTTTTTGGGTGGCATCTCGAATCATGTTCGGCATCAGACGAATCAAAACTCGAGCCTTTTTCATATGGTAGCTTGTCAAAGACTTCTCGCTGCCTGTTATTATTGCTGAGAGTCTGCACCACAGCACTCGTGTCTTTAACAAAATCACGCATTTCATTTAGAGATTTTTGAACTTGAGAATTGATTAACGACATATCCACTAAAGGCAGAGAAGCGAAACAGGCCATAGCTGAGGCTTACATACTCTGCTTCACTGGATCCATACTCATAACTCCCTGCCCTGAAATAACGTGAAGGAGTTCTTTTGCATAGCATGCTGCTGTCGCCGCAGCGTACGGCTGCCAGACCTTGTTCTTATGGGAATCAGCATAGTCGCAGACGCCTCGAATGACAAGGCAGGGAAACGAGTCCATGAGTCCTAGCCAGGAGTAAGATACTGAAATTTCCATTCTAGCAGAGCGTAGTACTAACCGGCAGCTTCCATTTCAAAGCAAATAATGCCTTCCTCCCGTGCCCATTTATCTCTCAGGAGGGCGTCCTTCATCACTTGGTCCGCTGACCCGATGGTCCCGTAATGTAATCGTGGAGAGTTATCAGGCCGGTGCTCCCTCTTCACAAGGTTATTGTTCAGGCTGCGACAGGTCTTACACGTCCTCTTCCCCAACGGATGAACAAATTCTGACTTGAAGAGATAGTCTTTCTCAGATCCGGGATACTGAAACTCCTTTGCAAGCGCTGGACGGGTCGACATTATATTCACCAACGTTTTGGAGATATTGTTGTGCCCTTCCAACCTATGCTGTGCCTTAAGATGAGCAACGGCGCTCAGAACAATGCTCGGGGGTTTGTTTAGTTTTACGCCGCTAAGTATAAAGTCCCTCGCCTGCAGCGACTTCCCAAAATCATACTGCACGACAGCATCTGAAGACTTGGAGTGAAGGCTTATCACGACATCACCGAGTCGAATGTCTCGGATAACTTCCAGATCATCGTCGGACTCTTCAGTGTCTTCGGAATCTTCCTTATCATTTGTCGCTCGATCATCATTTCCTCTTGCACCATAATACGGGGCCCCACCCCCAATTCCGACCATGAGCCCGAATCTAACGGCTGGGAAGCTGCGGATTAGGTCTTTCGCAACAGAGGCAGCAGACACCTTGCCCGTTGTTTCTGCTGGCAGGCAGGCAATCACGACATTGTGATCACTGATTCTTCCAAGGACGTACGAATTCGAGTCATTTGGATCGGCCGCTGGAAGGACTGGGTGCTTTTCGTCCAACATGGCCATGGCGGCCACCAGCTCAGTTTCCGGTAGAGCACATACCCAGCCGACAGTGTAGTCGCCGTGAGCGAGACCTTGAGGAGGTTCGGTCATGCTTAACTTGTGCAGACACTGAAGGTTATCGTTATAGAACGATGATGATGATGAGAGCGAAAATATTCGAGAAGTGGGGCCAGAGCGAGGAAGATTAACATTATGTTAGAGTTGTCAGATTTGAGGGGTGAGACTGCTGGCGCGGGGTAACTCTCAGCAGTGTAACCAGTCAAAGGCCCACGTGATCGCTGTTGATAGGAAAACGTAGCGATACATGATTGGTGGCATCAAAACCTCGCTGACCGTTTTAGGGGCGCAGATTAGTGCGGGTCAACGAGTGTGGCCTTGAGCCTCAAATATACACAAGTTATGGCACTGTCACGTACTTTATGATACGTCTGCGGATAATAGATGTTCCCATTACTTTCAAAAGTAGCTTAGTGCAATTTAGTGTTAGGGTTACAGAAACGATTAAAAGAGATTAATGGTGACACCAGTTTCCGGAAGCCCTGTAATTGGATTTAGCATTTGTGAGCATATTTCGGCCGATCGCCCTTTCTTCAGACCTTTCCATCAACCTCTAGAGTCCTTAGATTGCGGCGCTGATTTCGATATCCACCATATAAATAATTAAAAGACCATGTGAAGAGACTTGAGTATGGGCAAATGTAAAGGATCAAGAAATGTCTCAGAATGTCTCTTGTATACTAGATGAATGTAGTCAAGTACCAGCCGAGGACGAGACCGATTCAGCTTTATCCTAATCATGTATCTGCCGAGCCGAACAAGCCAGCTCATTACCCAGCTAGAATTCACTTTCAACATCAGAATCACTGTCTGATATACGCTTATGCTGCTTCCTTATAACTGCGGTGGAGTTTGCGGCTCGCTTTCCTGTCTTTGGATCAAATGAGCAGATATAGTCCCAGTAATGCACCATTGGGGGTTCCTCTTGGTGCTCAAATGCTGTGGAGACGAAGATGAGCCGCTTCCCTGTCTGTGCCACTTCTATTGCCTGGCTTGCGCTGAGCATCACAACCTCGTCATTCTCAATAGTATAGAAGAAGTGGTCATTAGCCACTTCATACACGAATGACGAGACCGCAGAGAATAGACCAGGATCCCCCAACCTAAATTTACGATATGCGCGTTTTTTGAAAATGTAGTAGACCGAGAGCTCTGCGGTACCGTAATTGTTCCATAGCTTGGTGATCTCTTTAGCGCTCCTATTGTGTGCGATATACGCAGTCTGATTTAGCGGAGCAATATGCGTTTCATCTTCGAATCCCGCGGCGATGGGGACATCTAAGTCCATATCCGAGTTATAAGCTTCAGTTGTCATCATTCTTGAAGCGTTCGTCAATATTTGATCCTGGTCCGCAGGGATTGGTGGAGTACCAGGCGGGTGTGGATCAAGCTCAATTGACTCCGGAAGGGACAACGTCTCGCTTGGAGCCCGCTCTGAAGTAAAAGACACAACTGGATGAGACGAGGGCAGTAAAACACCAGATGACCTCTGCCATGGAGGGGTAAATCCTTGCGGGAAGTGTTCTCGTCCCCAGAAGCTAATGATAATATCGCGGACGATGGCGAACGGAGTAGGGTAATCGTTTACCGCTCTACTCGTGTCCATGAGATGAGGAATGTACAGGAAACAACAATCCTCTGCATAGAACCTGCCAACAGGGAGCCCGCATCGCTTCCGGGCTGTTCTTATACTCTTTTTACCGCCGACGGGCAACGACGATAGGAAGGCTTCGTTCTCACTCCTCGCACGTGGAATGGACAAGACCTGTAAAATCTTATCAGATGCGTTGTGCTCCCAGTCAGTCGGATATTCGTAGAGCTCCTTGGGACGAGTAGTCCCTAAGAATTCCCTTGTACTAGACAGCGTCGTATTTCCGGAAAGAGCTGACCGGATCCGCTTGGAATCGAATCCCAAATATTGAGCCAGCACGGCTAGACGACGTTTAGCTTCTTCCTTGGTCGGTTTATATACGAGTGGTGCCGCATCACTGTCTGCATAGGGCGCTGCTAGTTTTATATAGCCGAAGGCTTCAATATAACGCATTGCAAACAGCCAGAGCTGCAGGTAGGCAGTTGTCATTTGCTGAGCTTGATATGAAGCTGGCGATCCTGCATAGTCGATATCAATCTTATGAACCACACTCTCTGAAAACTGAATCGGCCAAGTGTTCCCGCCGCCTCTAAACTCTTTCAGTAGTGCGGATTTAAGGTCGTCGATTCCGGGAGGTACGAGCTGCTGGAGAACTTTCGCACATGGCTCCAAGAAGAGTGTGTCTTGGGCGAGTGAGAAAAGAGTTAGTAATCTACCAGGACTCGCTAAAAGTCTGTCCTGTAGACTACTTCTTTCCTGCCCTGTCACCAAAGGAAATAGGACGCCATCTTGCATTAGCTGTGTGATAAACCGGCTATCGGCGCTCGAATCTTGGGGCATGAGATTCCGCACCTTACGAACAGACTCGGAGTCGACTGCGTGAGCAATATTATCAGGGAATAGTCGGGACCAGATTTGGTGGATCAACCATAAGTAGTGGACGATCTCCTGCCACGTACATGAGTCAGATTATTTGTACTCTGAAAATCGCTGGAATATGGGACTTACTATTGGGCATTTGATATATCCCCATCGCCTTAATAGTGTTGGGCATATATCGGACCAGACTCCTCTATATGGCAGTAGTTGATCCAAGCACCTTATAATGTTCGGATATCGCCTTGCTAGACGATCCATGTCATCGTTGCCTCGTTTTGACATTCTGGATGTCCAGGCTTGGAATGCATCATCATCATGAGCCCGATGGCTAAGGCGCAGGTTATAGATTATATCACCAAATGCAAAAGGTTTTGCATTTGGGGCTATGTACGCAATTTTGCGTTGCAGTCTATCCGGTAGGCCTAGGTATACATTAGCATATCGCACATTCGGGGGCTTTTTTTTTTGGCTATATTTACTATCATCGTAGAGCATGACCCGCCACCACCGATCTCCTGGTTCCAATGTCCGCCTTGCTGCCTTAATTCGATGTTGTCCGTACAAGCATAAAAGGCGAACATCCTGGGGCAAGAGTAACCACGGAGTGTTAGAAGGGCTAAGTAAATCAGTCTTTGAAATCCTGGACTGCGACAGAGCACTTTGAAGAACTGCGCTGTTTATAATAGCAGCAATCTCATTCCCAGATTCTTGCCTCAAACATCCTTCCAACTTGAATATTCTTGCCAGTCTATCGACATTTCTCCTGTCATAAGTTCTTACTGTGTCGCTGAACTCCAGATGCTGGAGTCCAATTTTGGCATGGCCAAGGAAGAAAACAGACTGTTCCTCAAGGCAGTGCGGTTGCTCCATACTTGCACCGAATGGAGTGGGAGACAGTGCGCAAATAGGTCTCTTGTTTATCACCAAATGTTCATTATCTTGGTGCGGGACTATCTGGGTTCGCGGTGGATACTTGGCTTGCCGCCAGACATACACCGTCTGCAGACCTAGACTGTCTCAAGACCTACTCCGTCT